CCCACCAGCCCCGCAAGGAGCCAAGTTCCCACAGGAGCCAAACCCCCCAGTGAGACACGTGCACCTTGAGGGTCAGAGAACAGACGTGTTGCCACCTGCTGGCCAGCTGGGGACTTCAGGCCACAACCACTCAGTTTTTACCACTTACACCAAAATGCACTCTAAATTGTCCAGACAATTATATAATGCACATCTGGAATTATTCTAAAAGAAGACATACAAGGAAATCGACATAACCTTGTCTAGGTGATAAACTTTTACAAAAATCCCCCAGTCTACCCACAGAAGTAAAATTTATATCATAGAATTTTTAAAAAATTAAAAATTTAAACTCTGTTAATGACCTTATTCAGAAAACCTAAAGACAAGACACATACTGAGAAGCATTAATTTACAAAACACGTAACTGATTATGGATTTGGACTAAAATTACACCAAGAACTTTACAACAAACAGCCCCAATAAAAATAGGTAAAGATCTCAACAAACACCTCTCCAAAGAAAACACACAGATAGTAAATACGCATATAAAAATGTGCTCAAAAATCATATACCAGTAGGAAATTGCAAATTAAAACAACGATGATATAACACTGCACACTCATTAGAACCACTAAACTCCAAAAAGTGACATTACTTGTGATTGATGGAAGATGAAGAAAGACAGGAACTCTCCCTCACTGCAGGTGGAATGCATGTGTGGCCACTTTGAAAGACAGTTGGGCAGTTTTTTCCAAAGCTAGCCAAGGCTCACGTGAGAATTCAACATGGCACCTCTAGTATTTAGACAATTACTTTGAAAAAGGGTCCAAATAAAAACTAGCATGCAATTATGCACAGCAACTCTACTCATAATGGCTTAAAACTTTAAATCAGGAGGATGTCCTTCCGTGCACGAATACATAAGCAAGTTGGGATACATCCATGGAAAGAGGGCAAATGACACCCTAAAATATATCTCTTTGGCATGAAGATTAGAATGGGCAAATTTCTTAAAAAAATAAGACACATGAGACTATGAAACCCAAGTCAAGTTTGCCTTTTGTGAGGCAAATTTACATTTATAAGGGAAACGTACATTTGAAAAGTAATCTCCCTTTCTGTACCAGGAATAGAAGGAAGGCTAAATCACAAAAAACTTATCCATAGAGAAGGCTAAGATTTAAATCTATATGATGAACATAGCCTTCCTTTCTTTTGGTGTTAGAGAAAGATGGCATTTCAGGTGATGTCTTGGGCCACTTCAGGGAATCACTCAATTTCCTGGGCATCTCCCATGCTTAAAATAGGCACACAAGTTCTTGAACTTGTTTGTACAATTATGTAAAGCTAGTTAATACCACAAAAATGTGTACTTGAAATGATTTCAGTTAAAAGTGTCATATGTATTTTTAATTACAATGAAAATAACCTAGGAATGTAGTGCTGATACAACTTACAACATCAGCAAACACTGAAAAGATCCCTAGTGAAAAAAGCCGTAAAGAAAAGTTCTCCTGATCACATGGTCACCGTGTGTGCTTTACACCCATCAAGGCTGTCACAGTGAGAGTCTCAGTAACAAACCCAGAAACAGAGAACAAGCAGCTGGACCAAGCGGTGACAGCTGAAGGGGGCCAGCGGGTCACAAAGTAATGCGGAAGCCACACGGCTTCTTCACTGGTGGGTTATATGACGGCTCCTCAGGAGACTACCCCTGTTTGGGGTAAAGCACCCTACGGTATTTTGTATAAAGGGACAACTGTGAGTAGTTTTTACCATCAAAGAAATTACTGGGAAGTCCATCATTTTTCAAAACAACCATATCAATACCACGACAGAGAAGTTGATAAGACAGACATCACACCTTGCTATAGAAGCCAAGACTCACCCAGACCGAGGTCAGCCAGAGGTGTGATGCTCATCGCCCTTGTAGGAGTCCACTTGTTATTAAGAGGCACTGTGGGATGAGTGTACCCGTAGCCAGCAAGTCTTGGATCCTGTGCACGACCTGGGATGCAGGAGAAACAGTGAGATTTTAACATTACAGTTTTCCGC